ATTGAAATCAAATGCTTCATTTAGAAAAAATTGTGTACTTTCTAAGCATTACTGAGTAAATTATAAACAAACATTAATTATAATCATACTTAAAATAGCAAATGGCTTTATGAAATTGATATGGATTCTATTATTGCAAAAGAGTATTTGATTTCAAATCTATTGTTGTCCAAGTATTATTTTAATCATTAAATTATTAAATTGAGACAAAAAAAATGCAACTACATAACTGTTGCCAGAATATATGCTCTTCTTCGTTTACATTTACTTTCAGATGTCATTTATTCCAATAGTGTTATTAACCTCTTAAAATTAATAATAAAATGTTTTAAGAAACAGAAATCATTTAAATTACTCATTTCTTTCCAAACTAAATATATGTTTCTATTTAACAAAAAGCAAAAAGAAAAAGAAAAAGAAGAAACAAAGAAAATATTTGAAACGATTATATTAACTGCCATCTTTATCATTCATTTTATTTAGTACTGCATATGGAACAAAATTTTCCTCATAAATTGGGTATATTTGATTAAATTTGTTAGTTTCATATATTTATATGACAAAATTTTATCCCAATTAATTTAAAATTAGTAAAGAAAAAGAAAAAGCTTCTAAGATTAATTGAATTATTATAGATGTTGCATAAAATTTAACATTTTATGAGGATGTATAAGGCGTAAAATGAGAGATAATATAAAATACTGAATATATTAGCAAATTTTAATTGAAAATAATGTAATGAGTAAGACAATATGATAAATAAATTATCAGTTGTGAAGTAAAGCATAACGTTCACAAGACCAAATCAAATAATTCGAATTTTCTAAAACAGATTGATTTTGAAAAGTTACAAATCTTGCACTTTTGAATCTGAATTTTCCATAGTTTCGGGAATTATAATAAATTTAGCTTTCGATCTAAAAATATGGTTGCAATCTGAATTATTCCATCTTTGACGGAGAATTGCTTGCCACTGCAACTCTTAAACGCATCATGCAAAATTGTCACGACAGATGATACTTCGTATGTAATCAGAACTTTCAGACAGACACAAATGACTCATAATTAAGTTTTTCTTTCCTAACTGATAGAAAACCTACATGATAACTTTTTTTAACCCCAAAAAATTCTCTTCCAATCGCACGGTACAGGCATGCATGTGCTACATTTCAGTTTTGAGGTTAATGTTATTAGCATCAAATTTACCTTTTTTTCTTCGTGAAATTTGTCATTTAATTTATTTGCATTAAAAGATATGAATTTAACAGTCTTGGCATCTACCTGAAGAAAAGCAAACAATTAATCCAAAGTGGTTATATTTCCTGACAAAAAGGCCTATGATAAAATGTAGCGTACAGGTACAATCCATGAAATCATTTATAAAGATTAAAAATACATAAAATATGAAATCAAAATAAATATTAGATCAAAAGCCAATATAACAAAGTATTATGAATTGCTTTAAAGAATTTAAAAAATAGCATTACGAAATATTACGAATGTAGACAGACATGTCCACAGTCCTATTATATGCAACGTGGTAATGCTACGTATGTTATATTTCTTTTTAATGTTTGACAAATCTGTTCCAATGTGAAAGCATCCTTAGATTTTGAAAAAAAAAAAGATATTGTAACACACTTTTGAATAAAATTGAAACATAAACTTTGTGCATAATTTTAATTTCGATACTGACGAACTCTTTGAATTGCAGATTTCAAAGCTTTTTGTACCTGTCGCGATAAGTAGGCAAATGAATTTTAGATATGACTGAGTGAAAGCAGTAGCGTAGTAATAAACTTCTAAACAGATTTATAATTATAAATCTCACATGACTAGAAAATGAAAATTCCCTATCTTCTAAATTACTATTTGGTATTAATAGCAATTCTACATATTGACTGGATAATCAAAATCGGTTGTAATAAACAATAAAACTGATGCCTGATCACGGGAGATCGAAAGACTCACGGAAGGTACTTTGAAAACAGAAAATGATGTTGCACCAACAGTTTCCACATTACTAGTTGCTAAGCTCAATAAGTCACGCAAAGCTTCATCCAGAAATGTATCCAAGTCATTGATATCTTCTACTGTTCTTGTCACTTCGCGAATTAAAACACTAGCATATCTTTAAAAAAACAGAAATAACTACAATTTGAAATTTTTTTGTCAATTTTGACAATTGATAAAGGGATAAGTACTTAAATTTGAGTGCTTACCTTTGTGGAATATTTGAAGATTTCGCAGATTTTGCACTGATACTAAATTTGGAACTACTATTTATTCTGATACCAGAATACATGCTAGGCGACCAGGCAAGTGATTTCATATCATCAAATGCACCAAGCTGTAAGCTGATCTCGCGTTCCGAAATCATTTTTGCTAAACGCTCACGATCAACAATTTTCTTCCGAAAACGTTTAACTATCTTTTTGTAATTTGATTGCGGTAGCCCACTGGTGAAGTCATCTAGATGTTCTCTAAAATTCTCATACACATTTTAGAAAAAAAGAAAAGTACCTACTTATTCCCCAACTGTACTATTCTACACATTTCTTTAAGTACAAAAAAGCTTTCTTATGTCTTGACAAGTATATAAGAAAACTGATAACTTAACACCTAAAATATGCTATTTCTCATCGGACGATAAGTGGTAACTGACAACGATGAGGAATAGCTTATAATGAGAAATTAAAATCAGGAAGTGTGTGAAGATCAACCGGATGTGTAATGGTTGTAAGTATAATCCAGCTTTATCGGAAAATCTAGATGCACGCAAAATACGAGCAGCGTCCAACAATCCCACTCGTGACGTTGACCGAAGATCGTCACTCTGATGAACAGAATCAGAAGGACTTGATATATAGGAGCCATCCGTTTTCTGAACGGAAAAACAGTTTAAATTTCCAGCATTTTTTACAATCAAACTTCGAAATCAAGAAGTAGAGGTGAAACAATCGATAATCTGATCAGTGGATAAACTATACGCATTGATTTGAAAGTTTGTAGTACTTTGAATATTTCAAAAATGAAAATGGTGAGAGATCTGTACAGCATGAAATAATAGCTATATCAACATAGAGGTTACACTAACTGTTCAAATGATAAATTTCGAGAAATTTACAGCATAACAGTGCTGCTGAAACCTACCAGTAGTGCCTTCAGCGTACATAATGCACCCGTGATAACAGCAAATAAAGCACCTTCTTGGATAACCAAAATGGATTTCAAGTCGAAAACTGCATTGTATTTTGTATTTCCGCCTTTTATTTCTTCCATCAACTTATTGTAAAGTTCATGTTCCAAAAATGGTAGCGACTAAAGTAAAAGAATATTCCATTTTTAACTGTTTAAAATTGAAAACCAAATCATAAAATCTGCTGAAAAAATTACATGACTAATAGTATAAGCTAACTGATCGTCGCTTTCTGAGGAATTCACTTTACGCTTAACATAAATTTGCAATGGCCGAGCAATGCCTTGCAGATAGTCTGATGCAGGTAATGAACAACTGCTAAGGATAATATCAGGACAAACTGCATCCCTAAAAAAAATCACTGAAAAAGTTTCCTGGAAAAAGTATGGTATTATAGTCAATTAAAATCAGTAGATACTCAAAATTTCTTTCAAATCTAATAAATTATAAATAACTGATGACAGCATAACCAAACGAAAATTAAAGCAAGAGATAACAAAGATCCACAGTATTTTGCCCGGGTATCTTTGCGATGTAGCAAATTTAGATAAATATAAACAACAATATAGAAACAGAAAAAGTTTTCGAAAGTAAACATACGGTAATTTGCAGCAGGAACATGCATTAACGTTTTGATTGATTAATGTTTCACCACTGAAACATGCAGTATGGAACCTAATACAATATGGAATATGTTCAGCACCTGTTAAAATCACAGATATGGCAGTCCCTGTACAGCTCAATAGCGCCATTTTCTTATGTATGCTAATTTGTTCATTGTAGCCAACGATTAAATTGCAGCGCAAACTTAATTTTTGTCGAATAAGTTCGATCTTCAGATCGTCCCACCATCTGAAGTAAATGATGAAAAATAGCAATGAAATAAAGTTTTCATTCGATATTCAATATATGTCATCATAATGAGTGGGGATGATCACATATTTGCCAAAATAAATGACAGACCTTCTGAAAGATCAACAATTCAAACTGTTTTTTTTTTTTTAAATCTATCTTTATTAGACTCTGGTTCAAATCAGCAAAAGTAAAAAACTTCCATAAATATGTTTCATCGTTTCTACTTCTATAATCCTAATCTTTGCTATTTTAGAACAGTAATATATCTAAGCTGTACTTTTTGATTTAAGCACCATACAAAAAAGAACTTTTTTCTGATTGTAGCAGCATCGTTGTTATCTGTCAGCATTTGAGCAGAACGAGCGCACACAACAACACCACATTTATAACTGTATATATTCGGTAAAACCTTCAATGACAATATGTGATGTATTATACTTTCATCAGGTGCAACTTCTTCATTTGTTTGTGACAGTCTGACTGCTGTTCCAAATGCTCGAAAAGTAATCAGTTCGGTTGCATCACCTTCGATATCAACAAATTCATGATACCTTAAATAATTATTAAATAAATAACATGAGGACTATTTCTGACAATTTTTTTAAATCTCACTAGTAAATAATAACTCCATAATAGAAATAAAATTAATCTTTTACCCAAGCACTGCATTCGATCCGAGAGAATGTGCTTTCTGTGCAATATTCTTAGTTAATTCGCGCAGCGATTTCCGAATTATGCTTTGTCGGGCTTCATTAGAAGCACGTGGAGAACGGATTCGGTCAATCCATTCATATTCCGGATCCGTCACTGTGGCGATGTCGGAAACCAATCCAATAACATTGCTGATTAATAGTGTTGAGACGGTACTCGCTTAAATTCTATCGATATTTTTCAGTATAAAAAACAATAAATGTATATAAACAAAATAAAGAATAAATGCAAGTTCGTTCACACGATTTTTGACACGAATTTTTACAACCATTTACCTTCAACTGCAGTCAACAAAAGCTAAGAGACCTGAGTGTTTTAGCATTATTTATTGTAACGTTAAAAGATTATCACTGCTTAGCTAAAGATATTTTCAAAGGAAGAACGAAGTCCCATAATAAACAAATCAATCTTCCAAACCTAATTCGAAAGAATTCGGCAGCGCAATGCAAGCAGACGAATGCAGAATGGTGATAATTAATCATAAAATAATTTTCATAAAATTAGTATTGTTTTTAAACTAAGTCTAAATATAATATATTTCGTATATATCCTACCTGAAAGTATGCGTACATAACTGTGATAACTTGATAATTGCAACTTAAGCGAAAGAGATATTTGAATTTCACCTCTTATTCCTGCAAACATAACACAGAAATACATAATATAACTTAAGAAAACTTCAAAAAATTACGTTAACAAAAGAAAAATGAGATCAAACTCACCGTAAACCGAATCATAAATTGGCAGCCAATTTGTAAATTCTATACTATTACTATTAGCTTTGCTGCATCGTATTTTAGAAATCAATAAATTTGCATCGTAAAATACACGTCCGATAGCATCATTTGCACTGTATATGTCATGATCCATTACACTAAATTTAAAGCATCAGTTACAATAGTTCATTGCAAAGGTTGAAATTTCAGTTATTCACTCTGTATGTTTCATCTCCTGATGCAATTTATTTTGCGATGGTTTACCGAAACTGAATCGGATTATCAAATAATCGTTGTTCATCCGTTTCAAAAACAAATACATCGGAATTCCACACCGGTGACAAACTTTTGACACAGACATCAGTTTTGTAAACCTTAAAAAAGTCCTTATTAAGTCATTGAATGCAGCACTTCACTCGTTTACTAACTCATATGACTACTTGAGCAGAGATGTGTCGGAAAAAGTCATCAACGATATCTGTTTGAATGAATCCATCTGAACTATTAGTGTATTAAATCATTTGATCTTTACAGGCTAAAATGCAGTCATGGACATGTTCAGTAACATATTTAACTTTATCCAGGTCCTATAATGAATGACGTTTAAAAGGGAAATATGCTAAACAAAAATTCATCCTAGCAAGGAAATAACGAAAAAATGCTCAGCCTCATTATCGAAATGGACTTCAACGAAAGCATCCGTAGTGACATTTGACTTATCCATGACAGGTAACCCTCGAGCTGATATGACACGAACACAAAGCTTCGCCGGAAGACTACTAGTACCGCACGGAACCAACATCGCTTCTCTATTAAATCTAGTGATTTGCTGTCAATATGTGCGAGGCATTCTAATTTCGTAAATTATTCCTTTTACAATCCAATCCATCGTCATCATTTCCTAATGAATAATAATTGTATTTCTGTGTATTTTTAGTTAAATGCTTTGAAAAGTAGAAAGAACTGAATCAAAACTTGTTTCCACTCCCGACAGAAAATCCCGCTGATTATAAACAGCTATATGATTCAGATTTTTCACTATAAAACGCGGAAAAAAAGATTGGATGCATTTTTAAAATGAAATAAAATATAATATACAATATATCTGAAACAAAGGGAAAGGAAAACAATGGAATAAACAGCAAGAACAAGCATTTTTCTTAAACATCATACAAAGCATTTCTCTTGCTTTTTTTGTCGACGAGATGTGTTAAAAACAGAGGCACTATATGACTGATATAAATTATGGGTCAAAATATAATTTAAAAAAATAATATTACGTTTCGAAAACTTTCACAGATAAGAGAGAGGATTTTCACCCAAAATTATGCAGATTTGCTACCCATAAAATGAAAAGCGAAAATAGCAACCATGAATTGCCCATAAAATGAAAAGCAAAACACGCGATCATATAATGAAGTCATGGTGCTATTTGGTTAATTTGGCAGCAGGAGACAAAAAACAATGACAGAGAAATTTTCAGGAACAATTTAAATACTAATCTTATAATAATGAATGATGATGTAAATAACGTGTAGCGCATCCATAATAAGCCAAATAATGGCTAAACCAAACACAGACACGGACGCAAAACGCATACACACATAAAAACAAATAGGCTATCAAATCAAGTCAGTTGCCACACCAGTATATCTCCACAATAATAAACAATAACTTTAGGAAATATGGAAAAACCAACAACTATTATGTTAAGGAAAAATGTTGCACACTTTGGTCTTAAAAATCAAAATTTAACCTCAACTAACCAATTCAAAGCTTTGGAAGGAGTGCTGGTAAAAGCTTTGTCTCTATTCCCCTACTAGGGTCATTATTTGTATGAGGATATGGAAAATCTACAAGTGAAAAATATCCATCAATTCAGTCCCATCTCTCAAAAAAAAGATCCAAAAAATGGAGTAACAATAAAGAAAAACCCTAAAATATTTGAAAAAAAAAACAAATAAATAAATGAATAAATAAAGTTGAAGCTACAATTATCTAAAATAGACTTTAGCAATAAAACACACTTTTTGCCACCTGTTACAATAAATTAAATGAATGTAGCATAATAAAACGAACAATAAATTCATAATTCTATGACAACAATTTGCTGAATCAAAAAAAAGAGAAAACCGTTTCCTGGTGGTGGCACAACTGTACACCGGGCAACCGAATCTCTACTGATTTTTGCCATTAATGTTATCTAAATTTTGGAAATCGGATGATATCGTGTATGGTCACGTAAGCTATGTTTTGCACAACAGTCATTGCCTAATACGAAAATGACGCAACATTTTACAAAACTCAAGAGTCTTGAGCAAAAACAAACAACCAATGAACTGGATAAAGAAGATAATTTCTTCAATGGTAAAAAGGATGAAATACATATTCAAAATAATAAATGCTGATATTTTGCAATATATTCTATCAATTTTAAGAGAATAGTTATCGTGTGACATACACAAGTAATAAATTTATAATTGTTAATTACTGATAAAGCATCATAATCTACACGATATTATTAGGATAGTATGTGCAAAATCAATTCGCTCTTCAAGTGTGGTAAGTAATTGGCCACCGATGAACATATATAAAAATCGTTTTGCAAGTTCGTTATTTCTCCAACGTCAAAGTATTGTACATTTCCTTGACCGCTTAGGTTTCGGCGGAGGAATTAGAACAGCTCGAATTGCTTCATCGAATACCTGCTTCAATCCCTTTTGAGATAATGCCGAACACTCCAAATACTTCACAGCATCTGCCAAATATTATTTTATTAAATAATTAATTAGAAGACTTGGTGTGCAAAACTTGTCAATGCCGTGCAACACGTCTTCCAATGTTGACAGCATCAAACGTCAGATGCATTCATACCTGGAACTACGGAAGGAAGCTTATAACCCACTCATTAAATCAGTTTTTCTTTCCTTAATCCATATACATTTATCCCAGCAAAGAAGCAAATCACAAATTCTTCAATGTTACGAAGGAAACTAGAACATACTAATCTCCTTTGACATTGACAATCCTTGCAAATAACTGATCGGAGCTAAACGCCTTTCACGGAGTCTTTCAACGGTTTCATTATCTTCCCTTAAGTCTAATTTTGTCCCCACCAATATGATTGGTGCATTTGGGCAATGATGCGAAACTTCAGGATACCATTTCGCACGCACATTTTCGAAAGAAGCCGGATTTACCAGTGAAAAGCATATTAAAAAGACATCCTGAAATAAAATATTAAAAACCAAGCAAAAAAAGAGACAGAACAATAATATTATTGAAAAAAAAAACGTCTCTGGAACATACAGTTCTCAATAATCAAGCAGATTTCTGCCATAGATAGAACTTATGTTACCTTTTTAACTAAATCTAAAGTCAGCGACAATAAGTAATTGATTTAAAAAAATGAAAGTAACATCATAAAATCAGTAGTTTGCTCACGGTTTGTGGATAACTGAGTGGTCGTAATCTATCGTAATCTTCCTGACCGGCAGTATCCCACAAACCCAGATTGATTGGTTTTCCATCGACCATAACATTGGCCGAATAATTATCAAAAACTGTTGGAATATATTCGCCCGGAAAAGCATTTGTCGTATAACTGATTAGAAGGCACGTTTTACCCACGGCACTGCAAATTAGAATATACAAACAGTGGATAATATGACAATTAACTCTTGCTTGAATAAAGCGTATTTCCAACAATTCCAAATCGTTTAAAGTAGGAACAAGTTATGTTCACACTACTAAATTACTCATTACTATTACTATTACTCATTATCCACGGAATTATTGCCAACTGTCACCTACAAATAATGTTATGCTACTTATAGTTCAACACATCTTAGTCAAGCAATGGTTAATTTCTTAAAAACTGCTGAGCAATAAAAACTTCGAGTGGATGCTTGAAATTTTACCTTCAGCCATTAGATACATCACCCATTTTTCTCCCATTTTCCGCTCACTATCAAAAACTTTGTTCAACAATAACCGAACTAAGTCACTAGCTATCTTTCCTGTCAATCTGCAAAACTAAAAATTCTCAAAAATCTTACCCATCTCCAACGACGACACATTTAATCGCTTGCATGTCGTCGTAGAAAGAGCTTGTAATCAGACCTGAAAAAAAAGAAACTAAATATGCTTTAAAAGTACAGAAAATAAAACACTTTAATGTCGCAGTACCGCTTCCTTCTACTTAGGAATGATACTTTTTACTGACAACAATAACTTTTATTAGCAATACCTTTGATTTTAATCGCTGTTGATATTTCCTAACTCATCGGCTTATCAATTACTGACATAATTTTAATGGTAGTATCAATAAATGTTCTAGTAACATAAAGCATTGTGCTCGGGCTGTTAAAACACGCATTTTAGCATGACTTCACATCCTAATCAGATGTTCACGTTGTATTTAAGATGAAAAACAATAATTGATAGCAACGATTTCCCATAAAATCCTAAGGTACATGGTAGGAAACGAATATACTATTCATCCATAATAGAAACAAGAAATAATGATGGTAATCGTCGAACTAATAAGAAATATGAGAAAGACTGAAAAAAGGGGAACATTTGCTCTCTATCCACCGTTAACTTCACATTAATAACAAATCGACGAAAGTCTATACATATTCTAAACCCAATGAAGTGTACATTTAAGCTTAGGAATATTTGGTTTGGATTTCATTCTCAATACGGCTTCATTTTATGTTATAATCATCAATCACTTACAAATGTCATTTAATGAATACCACCCCTAACTTTTCTACTACAAAACATCATCTAATTCAAAATATCAATGGATGATAACAATTCTACAAGATTTATAAGTTCAGAAGAGACATGAATACTATCCATAACTTATACATACAGGTAAACGTTGCAAGGTTGTTTTCTAATCACTACTCATAATTAAACATTCAGGAATCCCTAATTACTGTATATTTTGGTAGACTATAGTTTTCAGGATAAAATAACTTAGCAATTTCTTGACAACATATTCATACCAACCCATATCAGCAATCTATTTTAATCCCGTAGCACTCCAAATAGCATTCCGGACCAGCCGCTAACAAACCAATGAACGAAAATGAACTTCCGCTCAACGCTCAACCAAAATATAAGAATGAAAGAGTGATATAAGTGTTGGTTTGATCTGCTGGTTGGTGACACAGCGTTCCAACTTCGCGGATTAGTTTATTTTGCTAATTGGCTTAGCAATAGGTAGGTTGTGCTGATGTGGCTAAGTCGTCATTTGATTTTAATTTCTTGGGATAAGTAAGATGGAAGTTCCATTTATGGCTTAAAAACTTAATAGAAGCTCCAATGGCCAAATTAGGTCATAGCATTCCATATATTTATGTCAGTCATATGAATTATGTCATTTATTTCAGTTGAATTGCCATATATCGCATCCACGTGTATTTTTAGATCTTTGGTAAATAATAAGTACGGTGATATAATCTGTGGGCTTTTAACTACAAGTAATCTAGTTAATAGTAATTGATTCAGCCCCCAATTGTTTTCAATTTTTGAACTTAAAGGCATCAAGTGATTAGCACTGATTATCGTTTAAATACACGAAGAGGATGTAATGCTGATTTTAATTTTCATTGAGCAAAGTGTTTGCACGTAATACTGAGCATGTGATCAAACTGGTAACGGTAAGAACGCGGACAATTTTTGGTAAGGTAGTTCCTTTCCATTACGGCAATTAGAATAACAGTTCGATGATAAAGTAGAAGAACCGTAAGACAGTTCAATGGTTGCGAACAATATGTTTAATCATTAGCGACTACAAAAGAATTTCACGTTTTATTATAGGTCACAGGTGGGAAGATCAGAAGAAGAAGGGTGTATTTCAATGATGGATTGGGAGATGTTGGTCAAACAGTATCATGCAGAAACGGAACGATACAAACAAGAGTAAACTATTCATTTTCAAAGATAAATGGAATAATAGTACGTTAATTTGAATATTACAGAATAAAATATGGATACTGATACCACGATGAAATGTAATTAAAGCAGAATTTCAGAGCGAACGAAGCAAAAAACGAATTAAAAGACTTTATAACATTTAGTCAGCAGATTGAAGTGGAACTGGATAAGGAGCTGAATGCAGCTAACTTGTCGTTAAGTAAACGTGAAAAGGAAATTGCTGTTTTGATAAAAGAACGAGATCGATATAAAGTTTGTTCTTCACTGTACATAATAGATGTGACAATTTGTTATACCCATAATCATTATGCAAAAATTAAGTTATATAATTGTTTTAATCATATTGAAAGAATATTCTGAGGGTATGATTATCTTGACTATATCCATGAAGATGCATTTTGATAACATTGTGTAGTTTTCAAGATTTTGAATGCAGTTGTGGTAATGTTCTACAAACTTTACTCCTTGTAGATTTAATTCTTGAGATTCTTATTCCTAACCTTACCCATTTTAATCCTTTTTGCTTTCTTTTTCAGGAAGAAGCTCAACGGCTCCGTGCAGAACAGTATAGCAAAGATATGAAACTTAACGATGAGTTGCAGGAATTGAAAGTTGAAAAGGAAACTTTGATAAGTGCTCTTCATAAACTTGAGCAAAAAAATGATGATTTAGAGAGAGAATTAAGGTATATAATTCATTCCTGATGTCTTAAATTCATTTTGTTGTTATTAAATAATTTGATAGTGACAACACCGAAGGCTTTCCATTCTGTTGAAATTCTCTAAATTCGGATTTTTATTTATGGTTAAATACATTTCTAACTTTTTGATATCAACTCTTCAAGCATCCTTTTAGGATAACATGCGAGACTCTGAAGGACACTGAAAAAAAGTTAAATGAAGAACTGGAGATGCGGGCGTTACTCACTACGGAACTTGACAGCAAAGAAGACTTAAAGGTTGGCTTGTCCAGATTATCTGATTTGCCAAATGTTTATATTTATTTAACATGGCAACAGTATCAGCAATTAAATATTAGGTGTTGCATGTTGGTCGGTAGAATAGTTTCAAATTAGTAATTGCGTAATCAGGAATAGATTGATAGCAGATATTGTGTGCATTTATGAAAAATTTCATTAATTGGGCATACGATCTAGTCACATGGGGAGATCTGCAAATAAGTGAAATAATAAAATGCTTTTCGCTGCAGGTCCGTTGCCAGAGATTAGAAGATGAAATTCGAGATTTAAAATTAGATGGTATGGTAAAAGATACAAAACTGTCGAACTGTTCAATTTCTAATCAATCTAATGGGGTGCCTGCTACTCAGGGGAAATACAATTGTGGGAATTTTATTCAAGTGAAAAATGGTAAAAATTTTCTTTTGCTATGGTAGTATTCTGGTTACTATAATTGTGACTATCTTCTGTGATCCGTTGAAATTTGATTCGGGAATTTTGTTGTTAGTGGAAAAGACATCAAATGGTTAGTTTTGAAGTACTATATTTTCCTATAATCTCAAGTTATACTTTGGTAGGTCATTTGTGTACTAGTGATAGTTATTATGCATTCTCAGACAACCAGTATCTGAATGGTTCTTGAGGTTCTTAAATTGTATTACACGGTTCGTAATTTCTTCAATCGAAAAATTGGTGTAAACTGGGGGGTATTAGTGAATTAAAATTGTAGGACGACAGAATAACGGAACATTGCAGCTCGCAAGGTCAGCAAAAAATGGTTTTACTTTCTATGAAAGTACGTTTGCGTTTTTTTTATATCTGTAATGCATTCTTGCATGGCTTTCCAAATCAATTTTAATTAGCGAAATTAGGCCTCTTCACTAAGTCAAAAAAGTTTTCATTTCACAAAATTTTCTATTTAACAAAATACAATCGCTGAAAATTTTCGAATTTCCTTGTTTCTTTCTCGCTTCAGTAGTTCTATTCTGTTATAGATCATGATGCTTGTGCACAAGATGTGAACAGAAAAACGTTATTCACTGATGCAAATTCAAAAGGCATTGGATCGCGTGTGAACTCCTTACCACCTTCATTAGCAAATAGTATTTCACCGATCATTGTCAATCTCCTTGAAACGATTCAGGTGTTTATTAATTCAGATTCACAAAACTTCAGTACTATTTTTAGATGAAATTGGTTTTCTGCGAGGTTTTTACAAAATAAAGCTTACAGGCACTTGAAGAAAGACTGCTTTCAATGCATCCGGAACGAAGGACAAATGTGGAAAATGGATTTGGAACAGCAAATCGACATTGAAAACAAGTGTAGTATGCGTATCGCCGTAAACACATTCATAATTCGTATAATTAACTAATGGTATTACTTCTTCGAATAATTTGGAAGCTGTGGTTTGCAGATTTGGAATCTCATAGAGCCAGGGATAATTGAAGCTTTTTTTATTCAAAATGGATGATTTTTTCTCGACTGTGTTTGCTCAATGTGTTATAACGCTTTTCGTTGGTCCAAAGTTTGGCGTGGTGATTTTTATAATTTTTTACTTGAAGACGAAAATTTGTTACTAACGACAGCAGTATGCATTTATTGGCGCTATTTGATTGCTGTTTTATAAATCTTGATTGTGGTGGCAATGTAAGCCCAGAAGAAAGTATCGAAAATCTTCCTGAATTGCTGCTGTTTTACTACTTCGATAGTAAGATATTATTTCATAACGTTTTATTCTCTGAGATATTACAGACGATTTCATCAAATGAAATGTGAGCTTTTATATTGGTTCTTATCTCTGCATAGTTGTCGATGTGTACTTGTGATATTTTCTATGTAAATTTAAAGAAGCAAAAAAAAAAAAACTCTTCATTAGAATCCCCTTCTATTATATATACGAGTGTATGATTGCTATGTATTCTGTACATAAAATTATTTCCATTATGTGATATTCACGACATCCGGATAGAATCAGGAAGAAAGGAAAATAATATCATGTCAAATTCTGCAAAGTGCACACCTTAGCTTATTATGAATTTCAAGTTTGCTGGGTATCATACGCTTTCATACAAAATATAGGCTGCAGCGTATTTAAAATCAAGAGTCATAGCAACCCCTCTGCCAATATAACTAACTGTTTCTCAAGATAGAGCGATCGATTTCCCTACTGCGTACAGGATAACCGCTAAAATTGTGAGGAATACTAATAAGATGGATTAGGGTTGAAGGCTTTTCAATAGCCTTGGAGTGTCATGCAGTCCAGGATTTGTCGCTAGTAATAGTAAGCGAAACAAAAGGAACCGTTGCTGTTTGCCATATCATCAATGGCCATATCCATGTTACCTTCCAATTTTTCAGCGAAGGAAATAATTTGGCCAAAATAAGATCAGTGGCATTAGCAATCAGGATGAAATCTATATTTTTTTCGTTACAGTACCCATAAAACTGATAAAAAATTGCAAATAACGATAGTATTACTTATTTCTCTACTACTATTGTCCCAGAGATAAAGAATTACGATTGAGTAGAGATGGGACAGTTTTAAGGTTTTTATGGGTTGTTAAAATCGATACTGGTTGAAATCATTCATGTGCTTGTGTCACATGCTTGCGTATCGATAATTTTCATTCATATCATTAAGCATTTCATATGGATATGTTTGTATACCGGATGTGGTATACAACACGGTTTTCGAAATTAGTATCATTTTAGATGCTAATTAATATCATTAATTTTATTGCTTGAACGCTGACAAGATGCTAAAAAGAATAACAGTAAATTAAATTTACAAATTAAAATCAAAATAAAAACAAGTTGATTAAATCGGAGAAAATAGAACTAAAATTTCGAATTAATCCCGTATATTGCTAAATTTGGAAAAAAAAATGCACAATCATATTATAACCTAATGTTAAATATTATGAAATAAAGATCATCGACTATGATGAATTTTTTTT